GCCTGCCATCTGCTCCGGGGAGCGATTCCTCCTCGAACTGGGCTGTTGGGCCCCGAACAACAACACCACCACCAACAACAGCATTCACTTTCAGACAGTTCACCATCAACAAGAACAACACCAACAGCAACAACAACAACAACACTCATGTTAAGACTGTTCGCTCATACCAGTTCGCGTGCCATTCAACACGTGTAATCCCAAACCCTCGATACCCGCCCACTTCGTCTTCGATCGCGCTCCATTTTTGAGGAAGTCTCTGCCTCGTTGGCCACTGACTGAAGTGCAAGAGAATATCGAGCTAGAGAGCCGCTCCTGAGTTCGGGGGCCTCCATGGCCAGGGCCTCTCGGAGTAAATCGCGAGCGAGCGGGAGCCCTTGTCATCGTGGTTGGGCCTCCACCAACTCGGCTGAATTACGACATAATCTCGAGCGAGAGCGCCGTTCCTGAGTTCGGGGGCCTCTCTGGCCAGGGCCTCTCGGAGTAAATCGTGAGGAAGCATCGAACGAGAGCCCTGGTCCTCGTAGTGGAGCTCGGGAGCTCCCGAGCGAAGTGAACCCCACCCTCCCCCTCAGGAATCGTGGGAGGCAGGGGTAGGGTTCGCATGTGGCCCCCTAACACGGATAAACACCCGCTGCTCTCTAATTCACAGCTCGGCTGCGCCCGAGGAGTGGAAGTGAGAGGGGGCAGGCCTTCTCAAAAGGCGGCGGGGCTCCTCAGAAGCCCTCTGGCCTTTTGGGAAGCCTTCTGGTTCCGGGGAAGGCCTGTCCGCCACATCGATATATATATATATATATATATATATATATACACGAACAAACATACATATATACAAACATACATCAGACATATATACATACATGCATACATACATACAAACATACCGACAGACAGACAGACAGACAGACAGACAGACAGACAGACAGACAGACAGACAGACAGACAGACAGACAGACAGACAGAGACACAGAGACAGACAGACAGACAGACAGACAGACCGACATGCACACATGCAGGCATGCATACATGCATACACACATACATACAGGTATGCATGTATATATATATATATATATATACATGTATATGTCACAATGGATAAACAAATATCAAACACCCTCCAAGGGATAATGGATCCTGGGCCTCAGGGGAGGCTGGTGGTGCGTAAATCACGACTGGGAGCCAGCGCTACTACACACCGCCGCCCCCTCTGAAGCTACAGGCAGCATTCGTCGGAGGGCGTCTGTGTATAGACTCTCGTGGCGTAGCCTTTAGGCCGTCCGAGCCCTCCGAAGCGGCCTGCCATCTCTGCCTGCCATCCCTAGGGCGCGCCGCCGGTCCGAGGCACAGGCGGTCAGCGTCGTTCGAGGAGCTCCGCGTCAACTTCCGATGGCGGTGGTGGCCCTGATATGAAGGAATATGTCCTCCGCCCCCCTCCCCTCCCTCCTCCTCCCTTTCCTTCGCCCTCCTCCTCCTCCTCCTCCTCCTCCTCCTCCTCCTCCTCCCTCCTCCTCTCCTCCTCCTCCTCCTCCTCCTCCTCCTCCTCCTCCTCCTCCTCCTCCTCCTCCTCCTCCTCCTCCTCCTCCTCCTCCTCCTCCTCCTCCTCCTCCTCCTCCTCCCTCCTCCTCCTCCTCCTCCTCCTCCTCCTCCTCCCCTCCTCCTCCTCCTCCTCCTCCTCCTCCTCCTCCTCCTCCTCCTCCTCCTCCTCCTCCCCTCCTCCTCCTCCTCCTCCTCCTCCTCCTCCTCCTCCTCCTCCTCCTCCCTCCTCCTCCTCCTCCTCCTCCTCCTCCTCCTCCTCCTCCTCCTCCTCCTCCTCCTCCTCCTCCTCCTCCTCCTCCCTCCTCCTCCTCCTCCTCCTCCTCCTCCTCCTCCTCCTCCTCCTCCTCCTCCTCCTCCTCCTCCTCGTCCTCCTCCTCCTCCTCCTCCTCCTCCTCTTCCTCCTCCTCCTCCTCCTCCCTCCTCCTCCTCCTCCCTCCTCCTCCTCCTCCTCCTCCTCCTCCTCCTCCTCCTCCTCGTCCTCCTCCTCCTCCTCACCTGCTATGCCCCCCGACCTCCGCTCAAGGTGCGGAAGAATGCATCGGAACTCTTGGAAATATTGCCCTCCGCCTCCACCTGCGGCAGCGGCTCGCCCGCAGGCTAGCACAATGCTCTCTAGAGAGGGGCCCCCCTGCTGGCGGGGCTCGGGGCCACCGCCTTCCCCGGCGGCTCCCAGGCCCATCAGACGGCCGCGGGGGCTTGACTCCAGGGGATACCCAGGGGCCCCGCTCAGCTTTCACGCCTGTGGCACCAATGACCTCCCAACGGCCTTATCCTTATTGTACCTTCCGGCCTCCGCGGAAGGTGCGGACGAATTCCTCGACGCGCATGGGAACTTTACGCATTGCAGGGGGAAAAGCCCACGCAGATCACAGCGGGAAAAGGGGCGGGAGGTCCGGGTGGAAGTTCCGGAAGAATGAGGGGGGGGGTGCCCAGGAGGCTTCAGACCCTGTGGGATTTCTTATGTGATGAGGGAGGGCGGCAGTGAAATCTTTGGCCAGTCCACGATTGGAGGTCCACCGGCTTCCAGCTTGGCATCGCTCGGACGTGTGCATTTTTCTCTCGGCGAGGACCATCGAGGAGCCTCCTTGATCACTTGGCGAAAAAAAACACGCACGAAACCGAAAAAAAAACACAGGGAATGGACGTCCGAGCGATGGCCAGCCAGACCCTGGGTTACTTAGCAAATGGTTCCTTCTCCAATTGAAGGACGAGGGGTGGGCCCTGCAGCGGGGCGCTGATGAAAAGGCACATGCTCGCATTGGAGTGTGTACTGGAAGCGAGGCCGCACGTCCGGACTGAGCTTCCCCATACCCTTTTGTTGTGCCGGATAGAACACCTGGGCGACACAACCCGAAGGGAGGTGCCCAAGGTGCCTGCATGGATTCACATGCAGTCGGACCTCGCAACACGAACGGCGGCGCGGACCCGCCCCAGGCGTTATCCGCGCCGCCGTTGCGAGGCGCCTCGAGGTGCCACCCCGAGACACGGCCACCGGCACCACCCCCACTTGGCCGCCGGCCTCAAGCAGCGGAGGCCCCGCTGCCCAAGGACTTAAGTTCCCGCGCCCCCCACGTCGGGGGACCCCTTCGAGTAACCCCATCGGGCCTCTCAGGGGTGGTACGGTGGGCCCGCACCTACTGTGGTTGCATAACCGCTGGCAATAGGATGGTCATCGAACGCACTCGGGCACACTTGGAAAGAGCTCCTTGCAACATCTTTTGAAGCATCGCTGGCGCAGGGAAGTGCGCCGCTTGCGGCACGTTCGAACAATCCCAGGTGCTGCTTACCTCCCTCCTCCCGAGATCCCCGAGCCCATGGATCGATTTAGATGTTATTTCTCTTCCTATATTTTTATAAGCCCGGCGGGGGGAAAACCCATCCCCCCCCCCCAAAAAAAAACGGACTCCCGGGACCTGGGGCTTTGGGGCCCTCCGGACGGGCCTCGAAGCGGCCACCGGGCCTCGCAAGGCGTTTTGCCAAGCCTTCCCAGCACATGTAGGGCGATCAGGGGGGTCATCGGAGACGTCCCAGAGACCCCCAAGACAGCACAAGCGCGCTCCAAGAGTGACCGACGTGACCTCAAGATGGCCCAAGAGGCCTCCAGGACGGCCCCAAAGATGCCTCCAAGAGCACTCCCAAGAAGGCCCCCCGAGGCAAAAATCATTGATTTTCTATTGTTTGTTGGTGAATTTTGGAGTTCTCCTCTTTTCGGCTTCCCGACGCTCCAAGACGGCGGTCTTCTGGGCGTCCGAAGCCGCCTGGGAGGCTCCCAAATCGCCCCACAACCATCCGAAAGGGCTTCCAGGCAGTCCAAGAGAGCCCCAAAACGGCACAACACGGGTCCAAGATGGCCCTCAGAGAGCACCATGGCGGCCCACGATGGCCCAAAGACGCCTTCCGAATAATTCCAAATCGTGATTCGGTCGTTCAGGGAGACGGCGGTTCGAGGCAGGGTGGCCCGAGGAAGCCCCCGGAGGCCCCCAGAATACGCCCAGGAGACCTCCAGAAGGCCTTGAGAAAGCCCGAAACAACTTTTGTGAGGCCCCTAGAGGCTCTCCAAGGAGGAGCCTCCGCAAAAAAGAGCTGAGGAGGATGGGGAGAATGCGCAGGGTATGGCGAAACTAAGGAACAATAAGCATGGAGGAAATAACGAATAACATCATTATAGCGGCGATGCCGGAAAAGGCAACCAGGAGTTATCGCTAAATTGTCGGCTTGACCTTCCTGCCATTCCGCCTGCATACCAAACTTCAAGGACCAAGGTGCATGGCGCGAAGCGCCACTGAAGTCTTGTATGTATCTATATATGTGTGTATACATACATATATATATATATATGTTTGTTTATATATATATATATATGCGTGTAGGGTCGCTGCCCTGCATGGCTTCTAGGATCCAAGGGGAGCGGAGCTCTGGCGCCGATCGGAACGCAGTGCGGAGACCACCCTTCTGCGGGCCCGCAGAAACCTGGGCCGCTCCCCCTCACTTCTTGACTCGAGTCTGACCCTCCGCTGCACGCGGGCCGCGAGGAAGCTTCTGCCTCCCTCCCCCCCGCGTCCGCCATACAGTCAACGCGCGCCTTCATCTAGGATACCATTGCGTCCTTGCCTCTGTGGCCCGTCCTTTGCCGTTTTCACTGGTCGCCGCCGCCCAAGAAAAATCCCAACTTCGGCCTCCAAGGGTCTTGCGTCCTTACCACGCGTCCTTACTATACGTTTTGACTGTATGCCCCGTGCTCCTGCGGGCCCGAGGCTCGTAGCCTTAGGTCGGGCCTGTCCCCCTGAAGGGGGATTTTCGACGAAAAATAAATAACACCCCCAAAATAGTAAAAAAAATAGTCCAAAAATGGTCCGGGGATTATTTTTGTTACCTTTTTTATCTTTTTGGGGTATTTTGTGGGTATTTGTTATTTTTCATCGACAATCCCCCTGTAGGGGGACAGGCCCGACATAACCGTAGCCGCTTTTGGCCCCAGGCTCCAGGCCCAGCGCGAGGGAGCATGCAGACCCTCCCCGGGCCGAGCCTCTCCGACCCGCCCGCGCTGGGCGAGCCCATGCGCGTGGCGCTGCGGCGGGCCGGCGTGGGCCCCGCGCCGGCCGCGGCGCGCGCGGCGGCCAGCACCGGCGGCGGCACTGGGTGTCTCAAGCTGGTCGGGGGCGGCCAAGAGGGGGGTGATGACTACCTTGACCTTCCAGAAATGCTATCTTCTAGCACGGGAGGCCTAAAAACCTAAAAAACGAAACGAAACAGCCTGCAACCAAGACGTAGAATAGTTCTGGGATAGGTTTTTTAAGTCGCGTGCTATTTTTTTGCTCTCCTGGAAGGTCAGGGTAGGGGGGTTGGATATCATGGCGGGGGCCATGGCATCTCCTCAGATTTCATGGCGCCTCTTCTTGTTTCATTGCGTCCCTGGCCCACCCCCCTGGGCCGCGCACATGCCGCCGGTCATGATTTGCACCCCCCCCTCTTGGACACCCCACTCTTTGCCGCTCCCGAAAGCTGGGGGTCCCGAGGGATGGTGTCAGGAGGACGAGGTTCAGGAGGAAAAGAAACACACAGACACAAGCAATCCTCGGTTCCCTTGAAAAGATGGGAACATATAAGAAGTGGGGGGGAAGACAGAAACCCAGAAAATATGGGAACATGTGGGTATTATTTTTTTTGTGTGTATTTATTTGTGTGTCCTGGGGCCCCTTCAGAGGTGCCAGCAAACACGATGCCACCCGTCTCGAGGAGAAAAAAGCGCCACAAGCATGAACCTTTGGCGCTCCGCGCGGATCTCTTGGATTCGCGCTGGGCTCCCCCCTGGCGGCGCCTCTGGCGCTGGCGCCGCCCCTGGCGCACTCCGCGCGCCAGGGAGGAGGGGTCCATCGCAGATCCAAGAAGTCCGCGCGGAGCGCCAACAGTTTTTGTTTATGGCGTTCTTTTTCTCCTTCCAACCCTTGGGCCCCTTCCTATCCTTAGGGCCCCCTCCCTCAGGGCCCCCTCTTTCAGGAGGGAACGAAAAGACACAGTCACAATGAATCGTCGATCCCCCAGGAAATACTGGAACCTGTGGGAAGTGGGGGGGGAACAAAAATCCAGAAACTGTGGGAAAGCATGGGGAATCCTGCTATTTGTGTCTGTCCATTTGCGTGCCCCAGGGCCCCCTTATAACCCTTGGGCCCCTTCCGTATCCTTAGGGCCCCCTCCCTCAGGGAGGAGGAGGAGGAGGAGGAGGAGGAGGAGGAGGAGGAGGAGGAGGAGGAGGATGATGGATGATGATGATGATGATGATGATGATGAGATGATGATGATGATGATGATGATGATGATGATGATGATGATGATGATGATGATGATGATGATGATGATGATGATGATGATGATGATGATGATGATGATGATGATGATGATGATGATGAATGATGATGATGATGATGATGATGATGATTGATGATGATGATGAGAGGAGGAGGAGGAGGAGGAGGAGGAGGAGGAGAGGAGGAGGAGGAGGATGAGGAGGAGGGAGGAGGAGGAGAGGAGGAGGAGGAGGAGGAGGAGGAGGAGGAGGAGGAGGAGGGGGGAGGCCCCCTCTTGGAGCCCCCGAGGCATGGGCAGCTGCAGGGGCCCGCTGCCGCAGGCCGTGCAGGACCTCTGCGACCTCACCTCCGGGCTGTGGGCGCTCGAGGGCGTGCCCGCCGAAGCCGATGGCGCCGAGGCCGCCTCGCCCCAGGGCCGCGCCCTGGAGGAGGCCCTGCAGCAGGCCACGACGACGGCGACGACGACGACGACGGCGACGACGACGACGACGACGGCGACGACGACGACGACGGCGACGACGACGACGACGGCGACGACGACGACGACGACGGCGACGACGGCGACGGCGGCGACGGCGGCGACGGCGGCGGCGGCGACGGCGGCGGTGGCGACGACGACGATTGCTCGGACGTGTGCATGTTCTATCTCGGCGACGGCCATCGAGGAGCATCCTGGATCGTCTGGCGCAAAGGGCACGCACGAAGCCGACAGATGCACGGAGAATGGAGCATCGTCGGGGACGAAACGAACCCCATCACCCTAATATCAGTTAGTGAAGACGTGGCCTCACTGAGGTCCCCCCGTCATTGATTGCATGAGGGATGGCAGATCATGGCAGTTTGGTCAGATACATCTGCAGCAAACATCCCCTATCCCTAAGGAGTCTTTGGCCTCCTTATACTCGGGGTCGCCTCCCTTCGGGTTTGAGGGCCCCTGTGCAGCGGATCGACGCCAGCACACCTACTTAGGTCACCTGGGCCTTCTTACTTAGGTCACCTACTTAGTCTTGCCTGGGTCACATACTTAGGTCACTTACTCAGGTCACCTGGGCCTTCTTACTTAGGTCACCTACTTAGTCTTGCCTGGGTCACATACTTAGGTCACTTACTCAGATCACCTGGGCCTTCTTACTTGGGTCACCTATTTAGTCTTGCCTGGGTCACATACTTAGGTCACTTACTCAGGTCACCTGGGCCTTCTTGCTTGGCCTCCTTACTTAGGCCGCTCCTCCTCCTCCTCCTCCTCCTCCTCCTCCTGCTCCTTCTTACTTGGCCTCCACTGGCCTAATGTCTTTGGCCTCCTTACTTAGGCCACTTGGGCGGACGGCAGCGCCGTGCTCAAGCTGCTCGGCGCCGTCGAGGGCGAGGGCGCCCCGAGCCCGCCGCTCTCCCGGGTGGGCCTCCAGGCGAGGACGACGACGACGACGACGACGACGACGACGACGACGACAACGACGAGGAGGACGAGGACGAGGACGACGACGACGACGACGACGACGACGACCCAGGTGCCCTCGGCGCCCCGGCTTCCGCCGCCGTGCGCCTCGCAGCCGCGGAGCGCCGGGGGCGCCGTGCCCGTGCTCGACAAGTCGGAGATCCTCGACCTCGACCTGTCGACCGGAGGCACGGTGTAACGGAGACCCTGACCTTCCAGGAGGGCTAAAACATAGCACGCGACTTCAAAACCTATCCCAGAGCTATTCTACGTCTTGGTTTCAGGCTGTTTCGTTTCGTTTTGTCGGTTTTTAGGCCTCCCGTGCTAAAAAATAGCTCTCCGGAAGGTCAGGGGACTAGCGCCCTGGTCGCAATGCCGTCCAAGGTGCTGAGGGGTCTCCCCCCTCGGCTGCACCAAAACCCTCACCTTTGGTTCGCCTCTCCAGTGGTGTTGAAACTTTCAGGGGTTGAAGCGAATATATATATACATATATATAGTATGAATATAAAATAAAAGAAAATAAGCATAACAATAAAATGAAGGCATGGTGCCCATGGCGCGCTCCGCGGCCTGGGAGAAGTGCGTGCGCGACGACTTCCTGGACAAAGGCACAACGATGGGCAGCCTGCCAACCGTCGCAGCCCCGACGAGGGACAGCCTGCCGTGGACCGCGATGACGCAGGACAGCCTCCCGTCGGCCGCGGCCGCGGCCGTCTTCACGCACGACAAGTTCCAGAACGACGCCTCGGGCTGCGCGGCGTCGTGGGACAGGCCCATGATGCCGAAGTCCGCCTCGGGCTGTTCCCTGACGTCGTCCATGAGCATGTCGGGCCTGCGAGGTGGCAGGTCTCCAAGCAGCTTCCCGACCGGTTTCGCTACCTTCGGCGAAGTCGTGCACATGTAGTCCGCGACGTTCGACGGAAGAAATCATTCTCTGACGCCGTCTCTGGCTGATCGGCTGCGGTGCGCCAGGCACTCACGCAGCATGCCCGCGCTCCTCGTCTAGGTGCTGGTACAACACCAGCTGCGCCCAGATGCCGGGGCCGTGTTTGCGAGGGAGGGGGCAGGAGGAGGGGAGGAGGAGGAGGAGGAGGAGGAGGAGGAGGAGGACGAGGACGAGGACGAGGACGAGGACGAGGACGAGGAGGACGAGGAGGACGAGGAGGAGGACGAGGAAGAGGAGAAGGAGGAGGAGGAGGAGGGGAAGGGGGAGGAGCTTAGGAAGAGGAGGGAAAGAGGAGGGAAAGGGGAGGGGAAGGAGGAGGAGGAGGAGGAGGAGGAGGAGGAGGAGGAGGAGGAGGAGAAGGGATGGAGGGGGCGGTGCAGGAGGAGGAGGATGAGGAGGAGGAGGCGGAGGAGGAGGAATAGCTGCCTCTGCCCGTCTCCCCAGCGCGCGATCTGTGTCCCTTCGAGTCTTCGTCCCTGTGGCTGGCGCCGACCACCACCGCTGGCCGTCCCTGTGCCCGCTGCCGGCGCTTACCGTCGGCTCGCGCACCGCCGGCCTCGCTCGCTTGAGCTTGAGCCTCGCGCGGGGCGCCGGCTCATTCTCGTGAGCCCCAGCTCCGTCACCTCCTGCCTTCCCCCTCCTTCCCCTCCTCCTCCTCCTCCTCCTCCTCCTCCTCCTCCTCCTTCCCCTCCCCTTTCCCTCCTCTTTCCCTCCTCTTCCTAAGCTCCTCCTCCTTCCCCCCTCCTCCTCCTCCTCCTCCTCCTCCTCCTCCTCCTCCTCGAAGACGAAAGAACTGCACAGCATAATAAGCTTTCGACGCTCTGCGCGGATTTCTTGGATCTGCGCTGGGACCCCCTGGCGCCGGAGGCGCCGCTCCTGGCGCGCTCCGCGCGTCCGGGAGGGGGGGCCCAGCGCAGATCCAGGAAATCCGCGCGGAGCGTCGAAAGTCTACTATGTTGTGCCGTTTCTGGTTCTTCTACTTCCTGCCTTCCCGCGCCCTGCGCCACCCTCCGCTCTCTTGCCATCGCTCGGGCATGTGCTTTTTTTCTCGGCCAGGAACATCGAGGAGCATCTTTGATCATCGAGCCAAACGAACATACACGCACGGATCCGAAAACAAGCGCGGGGAATGGGCGTCCGAGCGACGGCGAGCTCCCCTGCCCCTTACAGTGTGTGTCGCTTCCCGCGGTGCGGGGCGGGAAGCTCCTCAACGCCGTGAAGGAAGGGGCGCTGTTCGTTCCAGGTGGCCAGGGGGCGGGGGGGGAGCGCCTGGACTGCTGCCGAGGGATGCCTCGGGCAGCGCCCAGGGCTGCACGTCTGACTGCATTCCGGGAATGGGAGGAGGAGGAGGAGGAGGAGGAGGAGGAGGAGGAGGAGGAGGAGGAGGAGGAGGGGAGGAGGAGGAGGAGGAGGAGGAGGAGGAGGAGGAGGAGGAGGAGGAGGACGAGGACGAGGAGTAGGAGGAGAGGAGGAGGAGGAAGAGGAGAAGGAGGAGGAGGAGGAGGGGAAGGAGGAGGAGGAGGAGCGTAGCTGCCCGATATGCCCTTTTGAAACGCGAGACGTGCCGTGTTCAAAACATCTGTGTGAATTCGTTGCGTGCTGGCTCGGCGTATGGGTCCACGTTTTGGCGAACGTATCGTGCCAGACGTACATCTGTTCAGTCTACGTATTGAGCTCCGGATCAATACGCTACGTGTTGTGGCTGCGTGGAGGAGGAGGAGGAGGAGAAGGAGGAGGCGAAGGGGAGGAGGAGGAGGAGGAGGAGGAGGAGGAGGAGAGGAGGAGGAGGGAGGAGGGGGGGAGGAGGAGGAGGAGGTTGAGAAGAGGCGGGAGCCAGCCGCACCTTGTGGAGTTTCGCGCCAGGCGCGCGGGAGGCCCCGGCCTCGCGCGGTGCCCTCCTCGGGCGCTCCCGCGGGGTCGGCGGCGTGACCGCGGTGCCCCTGCGGAACCCTTCTCCTCCTCCTCCTCCTCCTCCTCCTCCTCCTCCTCCTCCTCCTCCTCCTTTTCCTCCTCCTCCTCCTTTTCCTCCCTCCTCCTCCTCCTCCTCCTCCTCCTCCTCCTCCTCCTCCTCCTCCTCCAGGGTCCCGGGGTCCAGGGCCGACGTCTGGGGGTCCCCGGGGTCCGGGGCCCGTCTTCCCCAGGGTCGAGGGTCCTCGGGCCATGGGGTCCGAGTGCCGAGGCTCGTGGGTCGAAGATCGTGGGTCCAAGGGTCGTGGGTCGAGGGTCGTGGGCCGAGGCTCGTGGGTCGAGGCTCGTGGGTCGAGGGTCGTGGCTCGTGGGTCGAGGGTCGTGGCTCGTGAGTCGAGGGTCGTGGGTCGGGGAGGAGGAGGAGGAGGAGGAGGAGGAGGAGGAAGAGGACGTGGAGGAGGCGGAGGAGGCGGAGGAGGCCTGGCATCCCTCGGACGTGTGCGTTTTTTTCTCGGCGAGAACCATCGAAGACCATCCTGGACCATCGAGCAACAAAAAAACACGCGCGAAGCCGAACAATGCACAGGGGTTGGACGTCCGAGCGGTGGCAAGGAACACGCGCGATTCGCGCAACCAGCCTGCCTCGGGCGCTTCCCCCTGCCCATCCGCACCCCGCGACGGGGCCCTCCGAGGAGCCGGGGACTGGCCGCAGATCGATGATCCCCAGGACGTGTGTTGGCCAATTTGTGTGTGTGTGTGTTTGTGTCATACCCCGTTCAACCCGACCAGTCGATCCTTTCATCGCCTTCGTCGCAGTGAAGGGCCTCAGTGGGTAACACACACGTTGGCGCTACACACGCGTTCTCAGGATCGTCGAGGAGAGGCCCAGTTTCCCGCGAGGAGGATCAGTGATTCTGCCGCGTCCGTGCGGTGCACGGCGCGCCGCCTCGCAAGTTTCGGGGCCAGCGCCGTGCAGGCGCCTCGCGGGCGTGGGCGGCCGTCCAGGCCGCGGTCGGGACAGCCTCCAAGTTGCTTTGCAACTTGCAGCCGCCCGCACACCCTGCCGTTGGCCTGTGGCGTGGGAGGGGGGCGCGGATGTGCAGGATGCGGGTAGTGCAGAAATAACCCTACAAGACAGCCAGGCAGCACTTGGCAGTGTGTGCATGCACAGTCTTTTCACACCATGCTGGAAGAAGAGCCAGCCAGGTCTTTGCTGCAGCCTTCGGTAGGCACCGTGGGCGAGGAATAACCAGCCCGTGGGTGCCATCCGCGTGCCTGCACTTTGCAAGCATCGTTCAATACGACAGTAAGTCCGCGCGTCTTTGATAGTTCGGCCTCCCGCGCCGGAGCCGATCCAGCCGCCACGCTTTGGCTTCGACGGGCTCGAGGCCCCCAAACCCCTCCCGGATCTGTGCAGGGCAGCTGCTCTGCATGAGTTCTAGTATCCGGGGGAAGTGGTGCTCTGGCGCCGATGGAGACGCAGTAAGGAGACGAACCTTCTGCACGCCCACAGGAATCTGGGATTCCCCCTCACTTTGACTCGAGTTGAAGTTTTGCTGCGCCCTTCGCGAGGAATGTGCGCCAGATCTTATGTTTCTCCGGGTCTTATAGACGACCCCACACCGAGTCTTGCATGCAGGTGGGATGGTTTCTCCCTGGTGCAGGCTGTAATTCGCATCCTTGTGCTCTTGCAGAGCGAAGTGCGCCTGTGAACCCGTACGCGTCGCCTGAATCCTCCCCAGTCTCTCCTGAAGTAACACGAGAAGTAACTCGGCCCAGCGCGAGAAGTAACTCGGCCCAGCACGAGAAGTACCCCTACACGGCTCAGCACGAGCAGTAACACCTCATCCTCCCCAATCTCTCCCGAAGCCTTCGGGGCGCCTGACGCCTCGGGTGGAGCAGTCCACTTCGGACCTCCAGCTGCCGGGCCGCTTCCGAATACTGTATCCCCCTATCGTCAGTGGGGGCAATTCGCAGGTGGGGTGTATGAGCAGCCCTTTTGGTAGGGAGTGAGATCGCAGAGAAACGGAGAGCCTCCCACCGGGAAATCTGTTTCGGTTTCGTGTCGTGCGTGCGGGCGAGGCGAAGCTGCGCGGGCGGGCGAAAAGGAGCGAGACACCGCCGTGGCAGAAGTCCGGCCCCCCCAGTTTGCGGGCGGGTGCCAGGGTTGTCGCGCCGTGATGTTCCGATGGTGTCCCGTGGTGTCCCGCGGTGGCCCGTGGTGTCCCGTGGGACAGTGTCCCGTGGTGTCCCGTGGGGTCGATAGTGAGATCGGTACATCCCCAGGACGAAAGTTTCCTCCTCTTGGGCCCGGAACGACGGTTTGAAGTCTTGAGCAGACGCTTATGGGATTACCGCCGTCGAATCTCATGGAAGTCAAGCGGATGCAGTTGTGTGTTTGTTTCTTGTTTCGGTGGATCCGATTTCCGTCCGCGCGGAACCAATTTCGGATTTGCTGGATCTGGCTCTTGCCTTCTGTTGAAAGGTGGAACCGGACGAAATCGGGGAACCGGACGAAATCGGACCCGCGGACCCCAGAACCCGCCCGTGTTCAGATTCTACCGGGGAGGGTGGGGCACTCCAATCAACTTTCCGCGCGCGTGGGCCCCACTCAACATGAATGCGTCTCTCTCCTCTTGGAGACGAGCTGCATGCATCTCGTCCAGACGCCGTCCGGTCGGTGGCGCCGATGTTATCAGTCGAACTCAGCATCGCTGCTTTCACCTCCAGAGGAACATTTCCCGTCCTGCGTAAGTGCGTTTCGGCCGTGCGTCTCCTGACCCAACAGACTGCTTGTGAGATGTTGTGTGTCGGCTATGTTGTAACCAACAAGCCCGAGGGCCAAAACGCCCATGCGTTTCGGCCCTGCGTCTCCTAACCCAACGGACTGCATGTGAGATGTGATGTGTCGGCTATGTGGTAATCAACAAGTCCGAAGGCCAACACGCCCATGCGTTTCGGGCGGGCGTCTCCTGACCAAACGGACTGTCTGTGAGATTTGGTGTGTCGGCTATGAGGTAATAACAAGTCCGAAGGCCAAAACGCCCATGCGTTTCGGGCGTGCGTCTCCTGACCAAGCGGACTGTCTGTGAGATGTGGTGTGTCGGCTATGTGGTAACAGGACGAAAGTTTTGCCTTCTTGGGCCCGGAACGACGGTTTTAAGCCTAGAGCAGACGCGTATGAAATTACCGCCGTCGAGTCCCACGAAATT